TATTGTTTCCGCTTGCTGAAATATTTTCATCTTCTTTATCTACTCTGCCAACAATTCCTCTTTCTTCAAAGCCCGGTTCGCTGATCACTCCGTCTCAGTAGCTTTCCTTTTTCCCACCTGGGGAGAATTAGCGCCAACCTCCCTTGGTTTTCATAGTACTTTTTCACACATCTATTAGCGAATTTTCTCATCTGTCACAAGTGTTCATTCATATATATGTTCCTGTCACTATACAATGAACTCCTCCAGGGGACGGAGAAACTTGTCACAGAAAATCATCCCACAAAGAAGTACAGTGCCTACTATGTAATTCATATGTTTTCCAAACTAAACTAAAGGGGGGAAGGGGAATGGATACGAAAGGAACCCACAAACCGGTGGAACTGTAGGGCATGGTAGTTTCATGGGTGTTTGTATTATTATTATCAGGTTTCATAAATTACATGTATGTTACACACATTGTTTTATATGTATCAAATATTACATAACAAAAGACACTTTTATCAGCTTCTTAAATAAAATCCTAGAAATCTGCCCATTTTATTAGGGGGTTAATTGTATATCAGGAACCCTGAATCAAAAGATCTTGCCATATTTTGCCAGGTGAAAAAGTTTCTGGAGACTCGTTGCATAGCAAGGTGAACATACTTAACGTTACTGAACTGTACACTTAAAATTGGTTAAGATTAGGTTATGTGTTTCTTACCACAACTAGAGAGAAAATAAAAAGAGATCCTGCTGTAGAGTTGGAATTCTTCTGCAGCCCAGCTAATTAAACTACACTATTAAGGTGAAAGCAAACCATTATATTTCTGTTCAAATAACGGCAAATATTGGGAGAGGATCTTGTGCGTGCTTTGAGAATTTCTCCCGCGAGAAACAAAATGCGGTTCCCTTTTGTTTGGGTTTGTTTTTAAAGGCCTCGTAGGTATCTTATGAACAGTTTTTAAAGAATTATGTAAAGGATCATGTTTAATTCACTTTATTGAATTTCTAGGGTAGTTCAATGAATGACAAATTGCAAGGGACAAAAACTAATCAGGAACTTGACATGCCTTAAATTGAAATAAAAATAAATTCTTCAAATAATGCCCTCCACACCTTTAAGCATAGCATTTCATTTTCAGGGCCAGACAACCAAACCTAACATCACCAAAGGGATTCACTGAAGCATATTTAGTAGAAACCTGACAAGTACAAGCAGTTCCTTAGCCAGGCATCATGGGCCTAGACTCATCGTGCTTTCTGGATCCCTTTCCAGCCTCCACCCATTCCCATCTGGACACACCTCTCTCTGCAGCTGACAAGGTTGCTTCCCACTAGCATGCAGAGCCCTGCCATGGCCTGCCCTCGCCTCAGAGCTCTGCACCACACGCCAGTCTGTTCTCATCTCCACCTTGCCCTCGTGGCTTCCCTCATCCCTGCTGGGCTGGCCCTGCGACTTGCCTGGAAACCCACCCGCCACCATCCTCATGCCCCTATGTGAGCTGGAAAGAGGCAAGCTGTCATTAAAGACAATGGGGTTCCAATATGAGATCTGCCTCCATAAATATGAGATCTGCCTCCATCAAAGGCAAATCTTTTAACCTTCATTTCCTCACATGAAAAATTAGAAAATTGGAACCATGCTGGCACTAAGGTAGCTTCCTTATATTCTTACCTCCTATAAGTGAATCTACTCCTCTCCTTCAACATTTCCTGGCCTGTGGTCCTTAAACCTGGTTACATATCAAAATATGATGCAAGTATCAGGGGCAGCATTTCCAGACGTTGTTCACCTAAACTTCTTTTGACCTGGAATCCTCCCTTGACCCTTACTCATTAACATACTGACATCTAGAAGGGCACTAGTCCTTCCCGAACACCTATTGACATCCCGATGTCTGGAAGGACACTAACATTCTGCCAAAGACCGTTTGGGAAACATAAGCCCAGAGAATGCTGAATTGGCTGAAAGTCAGATTCCTGGGTCCCTAGGTGTGGCCTCTTTACCGCCCTCCTCGAAGGGTGTCAATGCCAACAAGCTCAAACACACTGTGAACATCATCCCGTGCCCTTGTTCCTTGTGTGTCCTGCTCAGATCCCACAGGCACTGCCAGTGGCTGGAATCACCTTGCCCATAACCCAGGCAGACCAGATGCTCCTCTAAGCCTCAGGGAATCTGAATTCATGAATTTTTTTTAACTGTCTCAGTGTTTCGCAGTGACTCGTGCATCATCTAGTGAGGAATATGCATAGCTGCTCTTTGAAATTACCATGTACATCATTTAGGCCTTATCAACTAATGTTAAAATTCTTGCCACTACTCTCTCTTACGTATGAATTTGGCCTTTTAAATAATTCCAGTCTTAAGGGAGATAAGATGAGAGGCCAAAAATTATTTGGAATTTGAGTTCCAAATGTAAGAAACAAAAAAGTTGAGCTCATTTCTTTGAAAATTTCTTGTACTACATTCTAGATCAACACCCTTGGCACTAGACTTTACTAAACTTTTACAGTATAAAATTACTGGATTCAAGCAGTACTTGGCCAGCTCTAATCAACTGTGAGGTTTCTATTACATTTATACTGTTTGTATAGTAAGTTTCATTTATCTGTCATCAGCTAGTATTTCATGTTTCCTGGACATTTTCCACATTGCATTGCCTAGTTTCCCTTGGTGTCTTGATTTTAATTAAAAGGATATTTATTATAAGGTCAGGGAATCAGAATGGAAGCCTAAATTGTAAAAGCATGAGAGCAAGCATCCCCTTCCATCCATGAAATTAAAGCCTTTTGTTAGGTGGCTTTTCAGATCTCATTGGCATTTCTTCTATACACAGCTTTCTTCTGATGGCTTCTCCTCACACAGAACCTATGAGGCCAGGGAGGTAGCAAAGGAGTTGGAATTAAGATATCAGCCCAGAAGTCTCAGGATATGCGATGTTTTAAATCAAAGGCTCCAAATACAACATTTAGGCATACAACAACATTTAGGCATCTAAATACAACATTTATTTGAGTTACCCCTCTGAGCATGCAAGAGGTAATCATTTGGGAAAAATCAATTACTCCTGGCTGGTGATACACTGGACTTCCTAGCAAAATAAAAACAAAAAATTTCCTGGAAAAAAAATGTAATAAAAGTTGTTTTAAACGCATAGCCAGGCTCACAAGAAAATAGACATTTCCAGGGACAAAATAAAAAAGGTTCTGGAAATCAGACGGTTAGGTGACCCTAAAGCGGTGGTGATTTTCCAATCTCAATAACCTAGACATTTGGTTTCAGAGCCTTACATAGGTCCATAAAAGTTTGGGAGTCAGAACTGAGTCTTCTGCTACAGCTGAGACCTTAAGTAAAAGGATGAGCTATGAGTTGTGTGTGTGTGTGTGTGTGTGTGTGTGTGTGTCCCTAAGAGTTCAGAACCACAACCTCTCAGTTTTAGAGTTCAAATGTTTATTACTTGGGGTTCTGTAAATTACAAACTAAGAGAAAGGGATCACAGTTTGGAAGTGTTTAGGAATCTGCAAAAGGAAACTCTCTGGCAGGTTGATCCCTTAGCTCAGTCTTCATAAGATTCCCATAGGTAAACGCAAACTTCACATGAGCTCACAATCGAAAATTACCAAAAACCCAAGGAATATTATTACTCAGACTCCTTGGGGTTTTACTACGCATGGAAAGCACAGAAGACCAGAAATCAGTTGAGGAAGTCAAGGCCCTGTCATTGCTCTTTCCTTTGCTCTCTACAAAGTTAACAATGGTTGAGTAGCAGATACATCAAAAGTTCTCTAAGTACCATTATTTCTCCCATAACATGAAGGGTATTCCTAAAAATATCACTTCATATGGAATTTTAGCCCTATGGAAATAACAGGACTGGGGGGGGATATAGATTCAGAACAGAACATTCAAAACTGTGCAACGTTATAAAATAATACACTTTTAAAAATTAATAAGAAACTGAAATTTTCCACTATTTTAAGCATCTTCAATTCTTGAAGTAATGCTACAGTATAAATAGCACTATGTCTCAATTTTTAAAAAATAAACACATGAAGTTTTGTGATGAGTTTGAGTATGATGTAGCCCCATGCCTTTGAGTTAACGGGACAGAAGGAAGGACATTCTTAGGATGAAGTGTCACAACAACAGAGGTGGATGACTGTGACTCATTGTCTTCTTACCCCTTCTGTGCTGGCTTAAAATAGAAATGCAGCTTTTGTTGTCTTGCCAGGGTCCTCTTTTCATAACAACAACAACAAAAAAGCTGTTTGTGTGGTTCCAAATAAGACCAAATGCCACAAAAGTGTTATTCTGCTGCTCTCAGCATGATAGCCTTTTCTTCAATCCATGACACATGTTTCTAATCCCCTTTAAAGCAGATGAAGGGCCCCATGCCTTCCATTCTCCTTTCTTTGGGTTCCTCAGTGTGGTCTCCGGTGAAGCTCAACGTGGGTTCCTTTACTCCCTTTGCTCTCAGGGTGTCCCATGAATCTCATCTCTTCATGAGCATCTCATGCACAAGCTTAAGGCTTTCCTCCTTCCCTGAATCCTTGGATTCTTATAACCAGGACATACACTCGTGTTGAGGATGCTTTAAATGCTTTCATGAAGAAAGGTACACAGGCTCACAAGTGCGATATATTGATTTAATTGCACTGCACAAGGGTAAACAGAACTAAGAAAACAGATGAGGTGTGTGTGAGTTTTGTGTGATTCTTCCAGGTCACTCCTGACAGCTGAGCAGCATCTTCACATTCACCTGATAGTACTTGGTGGCACCCAATATAATCAGCCAGCTCACACTTTTAAATGGTTAATGTTATGTTATGTGAACTTTGCCACAACCCAAAAAATCTAAAACACATACAGGCATACTTCAGAAGTATTGCAGGTTCCATTCCAGACCACCACAGTAAAGCAAGTCACATGAATTTTTTCGGTTTCCCAGTGCATATTAAGGTTACGTAGTCTATTGAGTATGCAATAGCATTATGCCTAAAAAAAATTTACATACCTTAATTTTAAAAATAGTTTATTGCTAAAATATGCTAATCACCTGCACCTTCAGTGAGTCATAATCTTTTTTTTTAATTTTTGAATTTTATTTTATTTATTTTTTTATAGAGCAGGTTCTTATTAGTCATCAGTTTTATACACATCAGTGTATATATGTCAATCCCAATCGCCTAATTCATCACACTACCACCACCACCACCCCACCACTTTCCCCCCTTGGTGTCCATACATTTGTTCTCTACATCTGTGTCTCAATTTTTGCCCTGCAAATTGGTTCATCTGTACCGTTTTTCTCGGTTCCACGTATATGCATTAATATACGCTATTTGTTTTTCTCTTTCTAACATACTTCACTCTGTATGACAGTCTCTAGATCCATCCACGTCTCAACAAATGACCCAATTCCATTCCTTTTTATGGCTGAATAATATTCCATTGTATATATGTACCACATCTTCTTTATCTATTCATCTGTCGATGGGCATTTAGGTTGCTTGCATGACCTGGCTATTGTAAATAGTGCTGCAATGAACACTGGGGTGCATGTGTCTTTTTGAATTATGGTTTTCTCTGGGTATATGCCCAGTAGTGGGATTGCTGGATCACATGGTAATTCTATTTTTAGTTTTTTAAGGAACCTCCATACTGTTCTCCATAGTGGCTGTATCAATGTACATTCCCAACAACAGTGCAAGAGGGTTCCCTTTTCTCCACACCCTCTCCAGCATTCGTTGTTTGTAGATTTTCTGATGATGCCCATTCTAACTGGTGTGAGGTGATACCTCATTGTAATTTCGATTTGCATTTCTCTAATAATTAGTGATGTTGAGCAGCTTTTCATGTGCTCCTTGGCCACCTGTATGTCTCCTTTGGAGAAATGTCTATTTAGGTCTTCTGCCCATTTTTGGACTGGGTTGTTTGTTTCTTTAATATTGAGCTGCATGAGCTGTTTATATTTTTTGGAGATTAATCCTTTGTGCATTGATTCGTTTGCAAATATTTTCTCCCATTCTGCGGGTTGTCTTTTTGTCTTGTTTATGGTTTCCTTTGCTGTGCAAAAGCTTTGAAGTTTCATTTGGTCCCATTCGTTTATTTTTGTTTTTATTTGCATTACTCTAGGAGGTGGATCAAAAAACATCTTGCTGTGATCTACGTGAAAGAGTGTTCTATGTTTTCCTCTAAGAGTTTTACCGTGTCCGGTCTTACATTTAGATCTCTAGTCCATTTTGAGTTTATTTTTGTGTATGGTGTTAGGGAGTGTTCTAATTTCATTCTTTTTCATGTAGCTGTCCAGTTTTCCCAGCATCACTTATTGAAGAGACTGTCTTTTCTCCATTGTATATCCTTGCCTCCTTTGTCGTAAACTAGTTGGCCATAGGTGCATGGGTTTATCTCTGGGCTTTCTATCTTGTTCCATTGATCTATGTTTCTGTTTTTGTGCCAGTATCATATTGTCTTGATTACTGTAGGTTTGTAGTATAGTCTGAAGTCAGGGAGTCTGATTCCTCCAGCTCCATTTCTTTCCCTCAATACTGCTTTGGCTATTCAGGGTCTTTTGTGTCTCCATACAAATTTTAAGATTTTTTGTTCTAGTTCTGTAAAAAATGCCATTGGTAATTTGATAAGGATTGCATTGAATCTGTAGATTGCTTTGGGTAGTATAGTCATTTTCACAATATTGATTCTTCCAATCCAAGAACATGGTATATCTCTCCATCTATTTGTATCATCTTTAATTTCTTTCATCAGTGTCTTATAGTTTTCTGCATATAGGTCTTTTGTCTTCCTAGGTAGGTTTATTCCTAGGTATTTTATTCTTTTTGTTGCAGTGGTAAATGGGAGTGTTTCCTTAATTTCTCTTTCAGATTTTTCATCATTAGTGTATAGGAATGCAAGAGATTTCTGTGCATTAATTTTGTATCCTGCAACTTTACCAAATTCATTGATTAGCTCTAGCAGTTTTCTGGTGGCATCTTGCGTATTCTCTATGTATAGTATCATGTCATCTGCAAACAGTGACAGTTTTACTTCTTCTTTTCCAATTTGTATTCCTTTTATTTCTTTTTCTTCTCTGATTGCCATGGCTAGGACTTCCAAAACTATGTTGAATAATAGTGGTGAGAGTGCCCATCCTTGTCTTGTTCCTGATCTTAGAGGAAATGCTTTCAGTTTTTCACCATTGAGAGTGATGTTTGCTATGGGTTTGTCGTATATGGCCTTTATTATGTTGAGGTAGGTTCCCTCTATGCCCACTTTCTGGAGAGCCTTTATCATAAATGGGTGTTGAATTTTGTCAAAGCTTTTTCTGCATCTATTGAGATGATCATATGGTTTTTATTCTTCAATTTCTTAATATGGTGTATCACATGGATTGATTTGCATATATTGAAGAATCCTTGCATCCCTGGGATAAATCCCACTTGATCATGGTGTACGATCCTTTTAATGTGTTGTTGGATCCTGTTTGCTAGTATTTTGTTGAGGATTTTTTGTGTGTGTGTGTGGTACGCGGGCCTCTCACTGTTGTGGCCTCTCCCACTGCGGAGCACAGGCTCCGGATGCGCAGGTTCAGCGGCCATGGCTCATGGGCCTAGCCACTCCACGGCATGTGGGATCTTCCCGGACTGGGGCACAGACCCGTGTCCCCTGCATCGGCAGGCGGACTCTCAACCACTGCACCACCAGGGAAGGCCTGCTGAGGAGTTTCGCATCTACGTTCATCAGTGATATTGGTCTGTAATTTTCTTTTTTTTTAGTATCTTTGTCTGGTTTTGGTAGCAGGGTGATGGTGGCCTCACAGAATGAGTTTGGGAGTGTTCC